TTTATGTGACTTGCTTTTATTTCCATTTGACATTGTTTCAGATACAACCTCCTGATGTGTATGTTTATGTATTTTGTAGTTAACCACAGTTATCCATTCGTCTGTCACAGACATTTTGGTTGTTCCCTCGTTTTATTTTAGTGATTATAAACAATATTGTGTGGAATACTCTTGAAAATGTCTCCTAATGTAAATATTTGAAAAGTCTCTTGAGGGTCTTTTACCTAGAAGTAGAATTTCTGGGTCACGGTGTGTACAAATTCAACTCTATAATGCCAAGATGCTTTTATGAGGTAATGCCAAGATGGTTACATCAGTTTTTACTCCCAACAGCAGTGAATCATGGTGACTATTTTTTTTTACATGACCAGAGTTTCTTACACTATGACAACCTGGTAGCTTTAAATAGTATCTCTCCATGATCCTAATTTCTACTTCCAGACCACCAATGAGTTTGAGAATCTTTGCGTATAATTTTTTTAACTATTGAACTTTCCTTTTGCAAAATGCTTGTTCATGTCTTTTGCCCAGATGTCTACCAGATTTCTTTTTCATGTTAAGTTGTAAGAATTCTTTATATATTCTAGATATTTGTTAATGTATATTGCTGGTATCCTCACCCAGTTTGTAAGTTGTGCTTTCTCTTAACACCTTAAGATGTGTTTTGTTAAACAGACTTTTTTTTTTTTTTTTTTTTGCCAGGCACTGGGCTAGGAACTTTATTTATATTAACTCATTTAAGTCTAACAAGAGGTAGATACTATTATCATTCCCATTTTACTGATGAGGAAACTATGGCACAGGGAGGTTAAAGAACTTGCCCAACGTCATGCTTATAAAAATCATTGCAATATAGAACAGAGGTAGATATCAAAGGCTACATAATAATTATACAACAATAATGCACGTTTTTGTGACAGCTACATGACCTCCTTGCTATTCTTCCCTAGGGCCTTTGTACTTGCTGTTTCTTTTCCTAGAACCATCTTCCTCCAGATATCCTCCTGGCTTCTTGTTGTTGATATGTGTCATCAAGCCATCTTCGGCTCATAGTGACTTTATGTACAACAGAATGAAACACTGCCTAGTACAGAGACATTTTTCAAACTTTCATTTTAATGATACACTTTTATCCATCAAGCAAAGGAAAAGACAGAGAATGAATGGTCAGAGATGGTGGAGTAGAACTAGGAGGGTGATGACATGCAAGCCAAGGGAGGATAGAGTTGAAAAGGAGTGGTCAGCATTAATGACTGCTGGTCATCGAGGGCCTCCTTGCATTATCTCATTTAATCTTCATGGCCATCCTGAGGGGTAGGTAATAGTGTGCACATTTGTTCAAAAAGAAAAGGAGGCTGAGATCTGTTAAATAAGCTGTCCAGTCATACATGTGGTGAAACGTGGAAGCATCATATGAACTCCTGTATGCTTCTCTCCAGTGCTGTGTTCACCCTGTCAGACTGTGCTCTCACCTCAGTGGTAGAACAGAAGCCAGCTGTAGTGGGTTGCAGAGTGAATAGCAGGTGAGGAAAAGGAGATAACCCTGTCAATGCTGGGGGTGGAGGGGAAGAGAAGTAAAGCAGATTATTTGGAGAGGAAAAAGTGAAGGGGGCAAGGAAAGGCTGTATTTTGTTTGTTTTAGGATAAGGACAACACAAACACTTCCTTGTTCATTCAGCAAATATTCATTCATATCAAACATTTACTGTCAGGCCCTGGGGGTATAGCAGTAAATAGAGTCACCACCCTCATGCAACTTACCTTTTAGTGGGGGTGTCAAGTAATACACAAGTAAACCATCAATAAATATATAATTATCATGTAGGTACCATGAAGAACAAGCAAAACAGGGTAGAGAATAGAGTGCTGGGGGTAGGGGGTGATGAGAGAAGCAGGAAAGGCCTCTGAGAAAGTGACATTTGGCAGCAACCTGATCTTCATGTGAGGCCTTGAGGCTTGGGACTGAGCGGAGTGGAGGCATGGAGGGGACTGAGAGGGTCTTAAGCAAGTGAGAGGCATGACCTCCTCCTCGATGGAAGTGGTGATGGAAGTGGTAATGGAGAGGGAAGAAGCAGAGGGAGGTGCCTGCTTTCTGCCACAGATAAGTCCAGGGGCTGGCCTTGGAAGCAGGGAGAGGTCCTCTTCTGAAACAGAAGGACAGGCATTAGAAGAGGAATGTGGAGATGTAGGGCAGCTTAGTGAACCAAAGATTGGAGAGTAGGAGTAATGGGAATTACAGTGTGCCCAAAGCATGCAGTCAGAGTCAAGGGTGCTGCCATTTGGTTCTAGTGGAAGAGCGGTCCTGAGGATACCAAGGTCTGGTGAAGGCCCTTCCTCCAACACACTGTGTAAGCACTGACTATCTCCACAAGCTTTGGAGTCAGGTAGACTTGGGTTCAAGTCTACCCATTTCCATCACCGACTGACCTTGAGCAAGTTGCTTAATCTCTATAAGCAATAGTTTCTTCATCTGAATATGAGACTAAAAGTACTGTACTTCATAGGACTGTTGTGAAGAAGAAACGAAATAACACCTTTAAGGTACCTGAGCAGGCCACAATGACTCCCTTTCTCTGGGATCTGCCCCCTGACTCCTAGAAGTGGCCTCCCCACTATACTGTAGCATGAGCTCAGAGGTTGGGCCTTCTTCATTTCTGTATCCCTGGGACTGAATACAGACTGGCACCAAGTGAGCACTCATGGTTTCAGGGAATGCATCTGGAAGTGGTGGAGCTGAGATGCTAAGTCCAAGGAGGGAGGCCTCAAGTAAAGGCACTGGTCTAGGGTCCCAGCTTTGGCAGCCCAATGTCTGCTGTCCTGTCACATCTAAAAGACAAGTAGCCACTCCCAGGGAGTCTGATGGAGCTGCAGCAGCACTGCTGGGATCTGAGAGTCCAGACCTTCTGTCCTGTTTGCAAGCCTAAGAGAATGCCTCTAGGATGTAGCCTTCAGATGGGCCACAAAATCACCCAGTGAACAATGGAGCAGTCCCCACAGCCACTGCTCTATTCCACCGAAAGCTGCTTCTTAGTCACCCCACCAAACCAAAGCAACTTACTCCCACCCTAGATCTTCCCTTGTGCCTTTGCTCAAGCTAGACCCTCTTCCTATGAATTCCTGCTTGGATCCGGCCCTTCTTCAGGACCAGCCCAGATGCCGCCTCCTCCTCCTGGGGCCTAACAGTAGGGTTCTAAGGAATCCTATCCTGATAGTTTACACTACTACTTTGTGTGACACTCCTGGGGTCCATGTCCTGTATGGCCAGGCAGAGAGCCAGGAGGCAGGGGCTGCTCCCTGGCCCCCAGCATCATTTCTTCCTAGCCAGGCCCCTGGTAGAGGGGGGTGACATAGCTCCGGACAGTGGGCTGAGGAGGATTAACCTCATGGAAGGGGCCTGAGGAGACATGAGAGGGCAAGTCTATAGGCCCTAGTCTCCCCACCCCCCATTTAGGTGTCCAGGCTTCTCTAGTCAGAGGTTGCTGGGATATCTGGGCTCATGAGTTCTCCAAACCCTCCCCAGGCCCCAGTACACAGGAGTCACCATGGTGTGCTGCCCTAAGCCACTCTAGAGTCTTAGCTTGATCTGAGGAAATGCACTGAGGGATATAGGGCTCTGGGGACACAGCAAGGCTCAATGCCATCAGGTACCTCTTCCTAACCAGGGGTTCCCAGGAAGTAGGATGATGGGAGGGCAGAATCACATTTTACCAACTGAATCTATCAAAAAGTCACACTGCACACATGTATACATAGAAGACACACCAGGTGATTTAAGTTTTACAGGGATTTATAGAAGATTAGCCCTTTCATTTGCTTTTATAAAAATAAATCTCAGTGGAAAGAAAAAAAAAAGACCTTTGGTGACTCATTATCAGTGTCCACTTACAGAAAATGTCCTCAACTTATATGAAAAATAGGAAAGTCTTAAGAAACACCTCCAGTGCCCTGCTCTGGCATCCCCACTGCTGTCTGTCCATGTCTCTTGGTCTCACTGTCCCTGTGCATGTCTTATTTTTACTGTAGATCCCCAGCATGTCACATGTTCGTTTTTTACGTGGTGTCTGTCAGCCTCTCTATGTGTCTTTAGCAGATGTCTACGGGAGCTCAGGAGGGCCAACAGGTCTGCATATTTGTCCTCTGCTGGGAAGCCTTGCCATCTAAGCAGGTTGTAGAGCCTGGTGCTCCCACAAGTATTGTGCAATCCAGGGTCAAAAGTTGCCTGGAACTGGAGTAGTCAGGGGCATGGCCCTGTCTGTGGTCAACAGGCAAGAAATGATGACATGGAGGCCCTAGAACCCAGGCCAGTCTCAGGAGTGGGAGACATCCCTGTATCCCAGAGGCAAGACAAGTTGTGTGCCACACCGCTAGGGAAGGGTGTTAAGGGCTGGGGAGAGGGAGAGGCTTCAGGCCCAGAAGACACTGCTGGCTCCTGCTGTTCCGGCTCACAGAAGTCTGACTTTAAGCAAGGCTGTAGCTGGTCCTCCTGTAGGAAGGGAAAGGCGGCAGGCTGAAGGAGGGTGTGAGGTGGGGCCTCTGTCCTGCCACAGATGCCCATGGGAGTTTCAATGTCTGTTCCTTGTCTCCTTAGCAACTCCTCTCCTTCACAGTCCCTGTTAATAAAGCTACAACCTTTGTTTCTCTAAGACCCAACAAATAATCCCCATCTGCTTGTCCTTCCTTCCCTGAGATGTAACTCAGGATCTCAGTGTTACTCTGCTGAAGGTTCTGAGACCACCAACACTGAGAAGTGAGGGTCTGATGATGCTGCCACTTACTGCCTCTGTCCTGTGTGGTCCTGTGCATGTCCATGTGCCCATGTATATGCACAGACATATGCGAAAACACATGCAGGCTTGTGAATGCCAGCTGTATCAGACATGTTGATACTGCAGCATATATTCCCTGAGTATCTGCTTGGCCTTGGGCTCTGTGCTGGACTCTTGGGATACAGAAATGGATAAAACACAGCCCCAGCCTTCAAGCTCCCCACAGTCTAATGGGAAAGCCAGACAGGTAAGTAAATCCTCCCCAGGCAATGAGATGAGTGCTCTGAAGAGGAAGGACAAGGCTCAGAGAATTGCTTAGTGCAGCCTGTGGGAGGGGAGAGCAGAAGACAACTCTCCCAGGCTTCTAGGTCCCAGGGTGGATGGCAGTGCCATTCCCTGAGAGAACACAGGATGAGCAGCTGATTTGGGAAAGAAGAGGATGAGTTCAGTTTGGGGCTCACTGAGATTGACATGCTTGTGAGATTCAGGTGGAAATGCTCAAAGGTGAGCTAGATACAGGCATACCTCTGGGATAGTGAGGGTTCAGTTCCAGACCACTGCAATAAAGCGAGTATCACAATAAAGTGAGTCACACTTTTTGTGTGTGTGTGTCCTAGTGCATATAAAAGTTATGTTTACACTATACTGTAGTCTATTAAGTGTGCAAAGCACTCTGAAAAAGTTTGAAATATTGTGGGAATTACCAAAATGTGACAGAGACACGAAGTAAGCACACACTGTTGGAAAAATGGCACTGACAGACTTGCCTGATGCAGGGTTGCCATAAACCTTCAATTTTTTAAAAAAATGCAGTATCTACAAAGCCCAATAAAATGAAGTAAGCCTGTATATGGATCTGAAACCTGAAGGAAGCTGTGGTAGTTGTGTGTCAACTTGGCTGGGCCTGGTTTTGAGTGGCTGGGCAGCTGGGTATAGTTATTTCCCATGATGAGACTGTTAATCAACTCCATGGTGGAATCTACTGTGAGCAGCTGAGTAGCTCTGCCTTAGGGATGGGGTCTGCTTCCAGTACATAAGGAGAAGCTTCAAGAAAGGTCTCTAGCTTTTTGGCACACTTGGAACCTGCATGTAGTCGAGTCTTTATCTCAATGGCCTGCTGTGTTGTCTGCCTATCTTGGACTGTTAATGGACTTGTATTAGTACCTGCTGTGTGGCTTGATAAAATTACTGTGCCATTTCACTTGTCAACTGTGGGTTTGTCAGCCTCAGCAGCCAACAGCTGCCTGAATGAAGAGACACCTCCAGTTTCAGTGGGCCAGGAGCAAGCCCCTAGAGCTTGACACTTTGAACTCGGACTTTTAGCCTCCTAAACTGTAAGAGAATAAACTCCTGTTTGTCAAAGCTACCCACTTGTGGTATTTTCTGTTAGAGTGGCACTAGGTAATCAAAACAGAAGTCAAGGATGGAGGGGCAGTTTTAGGAGGTGCCGTACACAAGAGGTACTTGAGGTCAAAGAAATAGACGAGGCCCCTCAGGGTACTATGTAAAGAAGAATAGGGGATCAGGAAGGGAGCCCTTAAATACCACCATACAATGGCTAGTCAAAGAAGAAGACCAGGGTAGTGGAAGAAAATCCAGGAGATTATGGTGTCATTGAAGCTAAGGAAAGGAAAAAACCCTCACTGCTATCAAGTCAGATCCGACTCACAGTGACCCCTCCTTGGGTTTCTGAGGCAGTATCTCTGTGGAAGTAGATTGCCCAGTATTCCTTCTGAGGAGTGGCTGGTGGGTTTGAACCGCCAGCCTTCTGGTTAGCAGCCAAATGCTTTTGGCACTATGCCACCAGAGCTCTCAAAAAACCAGAACTGTTCAACTGTGCTAATACTGCAAGGAGATCTGTAGATGTTGCTTGTTCACACATCAGTATGCATCTGTGTGTGCCTTTTTTGGGGTTGGTGGCCCTGCCTGTGTGTACCCATGTGTGGGATGCCCACCTCCGAAGGCTCAGCTGGCGGGAGGGATCCTGGCTTGGCACTTTTGGAGTGGGGCTGACCAGGAGGATGCACAGACCAGTGAGAATCATGCAGGTGGGCACGGCTCCAATGAGGACTTTGAGGGTCACCACCACCTCCTCTGCCTGCTCACAGGCTCCAGCTTTATATCCTGTGAACCTGGAGAAATACCACCCATCCATCCAGATCAGATCCTTACCAAGCCTAGTTCCCTGAATGGAGGGGTCCCAGATATCTCGCCCCCACGAATATCCTGAAACTCAAACACAGCCTAGCTGTGGTGGAAGAGAGGGCTGTGGGGATGGTCTGCCCAGAGGGAGAGATAACTGACAATGCGGGAGCTGGGATTCAGAAGCAGGGTATAGGTACCAAGAAAAGCCTCTCTTAGTCATGTGCACAGAAAAACCTAGGGGCAGTGGTTGCTCAGATCTCCACAGAGCAGGGCTTGGGTGCAGACTCAGGTGCACCCAAGCTCTATCCGAGCTGGCTGGAGAGGGCTTTGCCTTCTTCTCACCCTACTAGTCTTTTGTTCCTCTGGTCTCTCCCTCAACACACACACACACACACACACACACAGTGGGACTTACTCCAGACTGAGTGTGGAGATGCCCAGGGCCCCTGCACCTGAAAGCTTGGTGAAGAAGACATAGGAGGAATAGAAGATAGTCTCCAGGCCTGGGCCATGCTGGTGCTGCAGCTGGAAGTCATCCACCACATCTGGCAGCATGGACCTGAGGGAGAAGGGAGACTGTAGAGTTAGCCCCTTTTTATCCCCTTCCCAGCCACCAGTCTGTGACCTTCTCTGGGGACTGAGACCAAGTTGGCTTCATTCCTAGGTCCTGGCTGCCCAGAACAAAGGACTGGCCCACAGAGAGCCAGGCAATATGTATGCTTGCATTCCCACCCCTACCCCCACTGTCTACCACTCCTGCCTCTGGTGCCCTTTTAGGAGGCTGGACACGAAGGCCCTGGGTTGATGTGAAGGAGGGGAATCCCATGTGGAAGCACACAAAATCCCCACATCCCTTCTCTCCCAGCCTACCAGGGTAACAGCATGGACACAGCAATGCTCACGCCAGATACAAAGGCCACAACATAGGCCACAGGTGCTGTGGGCACAGCAGCCAACAGGATTGCAAAAGGCACCATCACCTGAGGAGATAGACACACTAGTTGATCCCTCCACCTGCTCCCCCAGAATTCCTCTTTCATCCACACACTCACCAATCTTTACAATAGCCCCTTGTGCCTGGCCCTGTGCTAGGCACTGAAGACACAAGGGAATGCAGAACAAGCCCCCTTGCCCCAGGAAGCTTAGGATTCATACTACCTCACCCGTTCTTCCCCCACTGCCAACCCCAGGCTTTGCTTCCTGCCCCACTCACACAGATCCCAAAAGCCGAGGTCTTCTTCCCAAATCGTTGTAGAATCCACTCCCACAATGGGGTGCTCAGCACAGCCGACACCTGTGAACAGACAGCAACATCACAGCCAGGGATGAGCAGCCCACACCTTTGCCCAGGATCTCAGCGACCTTGCTTTTAGCTGGAACTCCCGGCCTCAACCTTTCCCCCAGCCTGTCCCCTGCTTTGAACTTTTGGTTTGAACTTTATGACCCTGGTCCCAATCCCATTCTCTGCTGGAATGCAGGTGACTAAGACCAAAGCGGAGTCAAGAGTGTTGACCACTAGTGCTCTGGTCATGTGTGTGTCACATCAAGGACTATACATGTCCCCACTAGGTCCCCGTGTGATCTTGCTTCACGACCCCAGGTCTCTTACCAAGATGGTTAGCACCAGCCTCTGGACATGGTCATGTAGCCGGGAGGCATGTGTACAGAACAGGACCAGATAGCTCTGTTCTACCTGAGGAGATGGACAGGAAGGGTGGTCATGTGAATAGCAGAAGCTCAGAATGTCAAGGGCAAGCGCTGGGTCCCAAGTCTGGCTTCCCCTTTGGGACCTCTTCCCCACAGAGGGTGCTTATCCCAGAACAAATATCAACACTGTTCCTATTCCACCTTCATCACTTGCACAGCCAGGATCAGGTTGTTGTTGTTGCTATTGTTGTTAGGTGCCACTGAGTCGGCTCCAACTCATAGTGACTCTATGTACAACCAAATGAAACACTGCCCAGTCCTGTGCCAGCCTCACAACACTTGCTATACCTGAGCCCATCATTGCAGCCATTGTGTCAGTCCATCCTGTTGAGGGCCTTCCCCTTTTTCTCTGACCCTCCACTTTACCAAGCGTGATATCCATCTCCAGGATGGTCCCTTCTGACAATATGGCCAAAGTAGGAGAGACTTTGAAGTCTGGCCATTCTCACTTCTAAGGAGCATTCTGGCTGCACTTCTTCAAGGACATATCTGTTCATTCTGGCAGCCCATGGTACTTTCAGTGTTCTTCGCCAACACCACAACTCAAAAGCATCAGTCTTCCTTATTCATTGTCCAGCTCTCACACGAATATGAGGTGGTTGAAAATACTATGGCTTAGGTTAGGAGCACCTTAGTTTTTAAGGAGACATCTTTGCTCCTCAGCACTTCAAAGAGGTCTTTTGCAGCAGATTTGCTCAGTGCAATACGTCATCTGATGTCTTGATTGCTTCTTCCATTGGTGTTGATTGTGGAACCAAGTAATATGAAATCTTTGACAACTTCAATCTTTTCTCCATTTATCGTGATGCTGCTTATTGGTCCAGTTGTGAGGATTTTCATTTTCTTTATGTTGAGATCAGGTAGACTTTACTAAACTTCTCATAATGTGAGAGGAAAACACCCTAGCCTCTGCCAGGTTCCTAGTAGCTGGCCCTAACGCTTCTCCGTCTCACAAGCCCTACCTTGGTTTCTCTCCTCCCAGCACCAGCCTTTCTGGGTCACAGTTTTTCCTCCTATTAAAACTCAAGTGAACTCTGGTGCCTAACTCTGAACCTTGAACCTGCACAAGGTCAGTATGGCCAGGACAAGCCAGCATTGATCAATTTGGCCAGAGGTACCTGGATGGCAGCTGAGATGAACAGGAAGGAGACCACCAGCTTCAGGAAGGGTGGGTGCCGGACAGTGAGGACCAGCCCAGCCAGGAAGCTCAGGCCCTGACCAGAGGCTGGGCTGGAGGGGTCTGTAACACAACATGGGGACACGGTGGCTTGGCAGAATTCAAAACGAAAACCCACCCCCAAGAAAAACCCTGTCCCCAGCTTCTGTTTCCATGCCCTTGCTCCGCCCTCCATACCTGGCTTCTCCTTCACCCCCAGGTGAAGCAGGCTTGTGCACACAGGGTAAGTCAAGGCAATGACAGCGGCGGCAATGGAGTAGAGACGCATCTGTGGGACAGGACAGAACTGGGGTAGGTGTGATGTCTCTAACCAATAGGAGTAGGGATACATGGGGCAGGGTAGCAGGTCCTCCCACTGGGAGCAGAGTGGCCCTCAGCCCAAGCCCAAGGATGCTGAGTACCCCTCTCAATCACTCCAACATCTAAGGACCTGGAATGTCTCATCCATACACGTGCCCTTCTGCTGACCTTATGCCTCCGTGGAAAGGGGGCATCAATGCCTCTAGGAGTCAAGGCTGGCACACTGGCTCTCACTCTATGTTTTTTAAGCAAACATTTATTGCTGCTGACTTGTGTCTGCTAGACCCTGAGGATACACTGATGAGTAAGTGACCTGGCTAGCCCACAGTAAGGGGCTTAAGTATGACGGGAAGACATGAGCACACAGTCACAGCACAGCGTGAGGCATGATGACCCAGATCAGTATAGAAAAGAGAAACTATGCTACCTGTCATTCAGGGGAAGATACATATGTCATAAAAATCTATTTAAAAAATGCATAGGAATGACAGCCACCCAATGCTGGACACAGGTTGTCTAGGGGGAGGGGAGGGAGAAGAAAGAGAGGAAGGTGGCACACAGATCCTGCTCAGAGGGAACCTGCACTTCATGCTCTGTTGTCATTGTCCTCAAATTCTCAACAATTTTATCATTGAATTTGACCTTGTGTTTGTAAGTGAAGTCGGTGGATAATGCAGCATGTGCTAACAAGGGCTCTGAGCTCACAAAAGCTCTGGGTTCTCAGCCTCCAGATCTCCAGTCCCTCGCACCCAGGGCCTCCTCCTTCTGGACCCACCCGTTACCAAGGCGGTCAGGTGGGTGATCATGGAGAGACCTGCGTTCAGTAGTCATCTGCCTCAAGTTGGGGCCTAAACATGGGGACGGGAGAGTCAAGTTAGGGAGGGTCAGGCAGCAGCCTTTCCACACCAGGCTGGCAGCACCATGGTGCCGTTCAGAGGGGGCATGGGGTGTGGGTGACTCTCACTCACCCCCAGTCCAGGTCCCCAGCATGTCCCTTGGTTGGGGTACAGGGGCCATGGGCAGGGGAGATTCACTTCTCCTGATTCACCCTCACCTGGGGCCCTGATTTTCACCATTGCACTGAATTTCACAAATTCTGTAGCTGGCCCTGGAGATGGGTTGGGGGATGCATACAGGGGGACTTAAATTCTTAAATAAGTGATAGAACACGTGGGTGTTTGTGATATAATTCTCATACCATTGATTCCCAAACTTTGGCAAGTATAGGGGGTCTGTGTTCAAGTAAAGGCCTAGGCTTGAGAACCAGTGAGAACCAGAATGTGGAGACGTCCTGAGATGGAGGAGGAGGGGCATGTGGGGCCAGATTATACACAATGAGTATTCCAGGCCACATTACATGTGTCTCAGGGAGTGGCCTCTCCACAAGGCTTTTAGCAAAGGGAAAGACAAGGTTCAGTTTGCCTTTTAAAATGTCACCTCGTTTATGCTGAGGACAGGGATGGCTGGAGGCAGGCATACTATGTAGAAGGCTGACACAGAAGTTTCTTTCTTTAGTTTTTTTTTGAGGAGGGAGTGGAGGTGATGGTGATGTGGGCCAGAGCATGGCAGTGGGAGGCAGAGTAGTGAACAGATTCCAGAAGAACTGGATCTAAAGAATGGACAGGATTTGGTAGTAGGATGGAGTGGACGGTTGAGAAAGACGGGTGGGTAAAAGACGATTCCCAGGTTAATACCATTTACTTAAGGAAAAAGAGGAGAAAAAATGGAAAAACAGAAGACCTTGATGGGTAAAATATAATATGGTGGCATAGGGCCTAAGGCATTTGACTGCTAACCAGAAGGCTGGCGGTTCAAACCCACCAGCGACTTCTCAGAAGGAAGATTGGGCAATGTACTTCCGTAGTGATGCTGCCTCAGAAATCCAAGGAGGGGTCGCTATGAGTTGACTCCATGGTAATGAGTTTGGTTGTTTTCTTTTCTAATTGCCGAGGAGGGATGTGCTTTGAGGGAACAGGAAGGCGTAGTGCTGCCCCTTTTCCCCTTGTCACTTCATGGTGGGGCTGGGGAGCTGAAGAGATGGGTGGGGCTTTACTTAGACCTCTGTCCCAAGAGGAAACCATCCTGATGCCCTCTCCTCCCTGCCCCTTGCAGGTCCCTTCCTGCCACTGCCTGTGGCCAGGTCCATGACCTACCCCCTTTCTCACTCTCTGTCCCTTCTCTGGCATCAGTATCTACCACTGAGATTGCCTGCCAATCTATTATTTCAGGTCAAGAAGGAACCCAACAGGAGATTTGGTGGGAGGACAATGAATTGTCCTGGACTTGGGGGTCATCCACTCAGGAAGAGGTGCAGGAAAGGAATGAGAATGTGTGCAGAGCTGAGTCCCCCAAAAGAAGAGGAAGAGGTCCAAGAGTAAATAGCAGCCCGCAGAGGCTGTCACGGTGAAATCTGGCTGCCTGGGCACTCACTGCGTCCGGGGAGACACTGCCTGGCGGAAGTGCAGCCTTCTCGCACCTGTGGGGCTCATGAGCAGGGGACACGATGAGTCCATGAATGGTGGCTCCCATCAGGGTCCCGGCCATCTCCATGGTCATCCCTGGGGACACAGCAGCCACACAAAATGACTGAGTGCAGCATCCCACCCACCTGCAGGGTACTGAGGCTCCCACTCTAGGACTTAGCAAAGGTCCCAAGGGACAGTTGTCATCCCTCCCTCCCCAGCCCGCACTCACGGTATGCAGTGGCAGAATCACGCTCTCTGGGGCTGGGAGTCAGGAGCATGGTGAGTGCAGTGTATGGAACCTGGAAGAACTGGGGTGGCCCAGGCAGCACTTAGGATGGCCCCACTGCACAGGCTTCCCTACCCAGGGTGCACCAGCTTCATGAGGCTGAGGCACTAGCCACCCTGGCACTCCACCACTGGAGGTTGAAGGTAGGAGGGAACACCCAGCCCACAGCAGGATGACAGTTTCAGCTTTCTGATCATTGGTGTGCAGGTGAGGAAGTAGCCATTGGCCAGCAATGGAGTTCACCAGAGTATAGCCCATGAGAGATGTTATGGATTGAATTATTTTCCCCAGAATATGCACTTGACTGTTAACCAGGAGGCTGGCTGTTCATTCCCACCAGCCACTCCTTGGAAAGAAGGTTGGGCAACCTACTTCCATAGGGATACTGCCTCAGAAACCTAAGGAGGGGTCTCCATGAGTCGGTTTGAGGCCAGGGCACATATCAACAACAACATGTTGTAAATCCTAAACTCTAAACCTGTGGTTATAATTCCTTTTGGGAATGGGCTTTGTTACGTTATGTAATGTCTTTGTTATGTTAATGAAGCAGAGTTAGTGTAGGGTGTATCTTGAGTCAGTCTCTTTTGAGATATAAAAGAGATTAAAGAAGTGAGTAGAGGAGAGATGGGGTTAGATAGATGCCAAGACACTTGGAGATCTCCAAGAACCAGGAAGCAGAAGCTAAAGAGATAAGGATCTTCCTCCAGACAGAAAGCTTCCCCCTAGAGCCAGTGCTCTGAATTCAGACTTCTAGCTTCCTAAACTGTGAGAAAATAAAATTTTATTGTTAAAGCCATCCTCTCATGGTATTTCTTCTATGGTAGAACTAGAGAACTCACCGTGGCCAGGGCCTGGAACAGGCAGTAGAAGGTCATGTACCAGAGGCCTCGAAGGCTGGTGAAGGGGGGCAGGAACCATAGGAAGAAGTAGGCCAAGGCAACAAAGGGCGTGCAGCCCAGCACCCTGCAGAAGCACAGGGATGAGGCGTACCCCTCAGAACCAGGATAGAGGGGACAACAAGGGTTTAGCCTGGACATCCTCACCCCTTCTGGGCACAAACCCCTCTGCCCTTGCAGAAGCCCTGGGTTGAGGCTCTCAGGGTGAGAGCCAGGGTTTGGGTGGCTGGTCGGATGTGGGTGTGGCAAGTAGTGGAGAGGGCCATTCACTGCTGGACTCTGGCTGGGCCCCTTCTGCTTGGTGGTACCATTCCCTCTATTGAGGACACTGAAGGACAAGTACGTTGCAGCTCCTCTGTGAGAACTTCCAGGACCTCCTGGCCAACCTGTCCATACTGACAGCCATAGGCCAGAGCTGGAAGGCTTGGAGGTTCTGCCCAGTCCTGTATTGTGTGGTGAGGGAGAGTCTCCAAGAAGTCTCTGAACTGAAAGGCTTGCAGTCAGATTCCAGTCTAGTCCCCAGTCTTAGCTTCTTAACAATGCACAGGGTTTTCCACTAAGAAATCAGGTTGTAACAAATGCAGCGATCTCAGGGCCAGGGGTGGGTACCTGGATCCTGGGGACCGTGGGGCTGCTCACCAGGGCATGAGTCGTCCAGACCCTGTCCTCCTGCTTCTGTTGATGAAGAACCCAGCAACAGGGTCGGCAGCTGCCCCAGACACCTTCCCTCCAAACAAGACAAGAGATACCTGGGCAGCAGGGATCTGAAATGGGCAGGGAGGGGATACAAAAGGAAAGGGTGTTGAGGCCTGCCTGCCTCGTGGAAGGGAGAGACCTAGAATTCTAATGGAGGGCAGAGCCACAATATGTAGGGCCATCAGGCCTCCTCGCCAGGACACTGATCCAGAAGGCTCTACGGGCATATGTGTATTAGTGAAAGAAAGGATGGGGAGGGAGCTGACAGCTGCACCTATCAGCACATTCTCATAATTACCCCTGCCCTCTCACCTTTGGAAAGGATTCGAGGGCCCTCATCAGAAGCCTATGGGATGGCTCAGAGCAAGAAGAGTATATCTAGGCTGACAGTCAGAGGCAGATTTTATTTCACAATGAAAATGTTTTATTGACTTTTCTAACTGCATAAATACAATCATTATAAAAAACAGTCAAACAGTACTGAAAAATATTAGCAAAGCTCATCTGAAATATCATCACCCTGCGACAACTGCCAGAGGCATTTTGATCATTCTTTCATGCATTTATAATTTATAGTTTTACATAAATGGGGTCACATCAGTGTCATTTTTCAAAAATCAGGGATCTTATTAAAATTTTTGCTTCTCCTCTACTCTCCAACATTCCCTCCTATTACCAACGTTAACAACCTGGTGTGTATTCTTCCTTAATTTTCTCCACACTTATATTTTAACCATGTATACATATACACATACATATACACATGCACACACCAATATGGGGCATGTCTTTGTTCTGTTAAAATAAGATCATTTTATATATTCTTCTTTAAAACCAGCTTTTCTCACTTGACAATGCATCATGGAGCAGGTATAGATCTAACTCTTTCAAACGGTTGCCTAAAAGCCCATTAACCCAAAATCAAACTCACTGCCATCGAGTTGATTCTGACTCACAGCAACCCTCATGGGTTTCCAGGCTGTAATTCTTTATGGAAGCAGACTGTCCCATCTTTCTTTTGCAGAGTGACTGGTATTTCATACCAGCCAAACGCTTTAACTACTACCCTACCAGACCTCCTTAAAAGCTCATCATGTGGATACAAAAAAGGCAAAAAACAACAACAAAAACCCCAGTTGTCAATTCCTACTCATAGCGACTCTACTGGACAGAGTAGAACTGCCCCATGGGACTTCCAAGGCCGTATCTTTACAGAAACACTCTGCCACATCTTTCTTCAGCATTAACGGCTGGTAGGTTCAAACCACTGACCTTTTGGTTAGCAGAGTTCTTAACCACGTGCCACCGGAGCTCCTTATGTGGATATAGTACAACATATTCAACTGCTTCTGTCATATTGGGCATTCACACTGTTCCCATTTCCCATTACAAACAGGGCTACAATAAACATCCTCGAAGAGGCTACCCTCAATAGCATTTGGGTTTCTGTCAGCCTTGGGTCAGAAATGCTGTCTAGCAAGGACAGCTGGTGGACAGGTGGAGGTAGAAGAACCAGGCAGGGAGCAGGGCAGAAGGCAGGCGGGAGCAGGCAGCCCTGGGCCGGTACCCTCACTTACCTGTGCCACATCAAGCAGAAAGAGCTGCAGGTAGAAGGCCGTGGCGCTGGAGGCCACCTGGTTGGGGACCCCGCCAATGCCATAGCACAATTTCGTACAGAATGAGAGGTGACCGGCTCTGTCATCCTGGGGGAGACAATGGAGCTAAGCCCCCAGCCCACACCCATGACTTCCATAAGCATCCTGATTTGTCCTCTCAGCTCGATTTAAAATTGTCCCAATTTATCCTAAAGGGAAGTGAAACAGGAAAAAAAAAATCTAAACCTTGACCTCCTAAACTTCACCAGGGGGAAATGCTTCCTTACATTTCCCCCTCGATGCTTCCCTCTGTAGCCTGCTTCATTTTCGGAGTCAGCAAGAGTGAACTAGGGGTCAGGAGATCTGGGTTTGAACCTGTTCCTTGCACCCCCTACTCCCTATGTGGCCTTGAATAAGTCACTTTTCTCTCTAAGCCTTGTTTTCCTCATCTTTTACATGGAATATCCCTTCCAGCTTCACAGGGTTGCTATAATGAACAAATGAGGCAGTGACTCTGGGAGCTGATTGGTAAATATTCAAGAATTTTGCAAGCTAGTTGCTGAACCTCTGGCAGCCTGAAATCATCCATGGTGAGAGGATACAACAGAATCAGCAAACATTATCAATCAGAGCGTATCTTCCTCCTTTCTGCCCTGCTCCTACTATTGAACAGGTCACCACTGAGATGAAGCAATGTTTATGGCCCCAACTGTGTATCATTTGCCTCAAGCTATCTAGCCAACTCCAGATATGAATATTCAACTACCTACTCACAGTCCCCCATGGGTAACTGACAGGCATCTCAGCTTAGTATGATCAAAACACAGCTCCTGATTTCCATCTCATTGTCTAATTCTTAACTGAGTCGTCCCCATTGCGTTAAGTGGCTCCACTGTTCATCCAGTGGCTCAGGTCCCTGAGTCATCCTTGATTCCTCTTTCCCACATGCACCCATTTAATCTACCAGTGAGAGCATCCTAAGTGGCTTCTTTGCTTCTGCTCTTTGCCCAGCAGCCTAAGTGCTCTTTTAATAACATAAATCAGACCATGTCTCTTTTCTGCTTAAAACCCTCTCACAGCTTGCCATTACAGTTTCAAGAAAGCTCTCTGGAGTGGAGCCCCCTGATCCGCTCCCACCCCTTTCCCACCTCACTTAGATAGCTCTTCTCTAGCCATGGCGACCTCATTCCTACCCCTCAAACTCCTATTTCTCAGCCCGTTGCTGTCTCAGAGCCTTTGCACTTCCCAATTCTGCCTGGAAGGCTCTTCCTCCAGATCTTCACATAGCTGGCTCTTTGTCATTCAGGTCTCAGCTTAAATGCCACCTCCTCAGGTCAGTTTAGGAGCTCTGGTAGCATAGTGCCTAAGGCACTTGACTGCTCACCAGAAGGCTGGCGGTTCAAACCCACCAGCCACTCCTCGGAAGGAAGGTTGGGCAATCCTACTTCCGTAGTGATACTGCCTCGGAAACCCAAGGAGGGGTCGCTATGAGTCGGGGCCGACTCGACGGCAAACAACAACAACAACAACAACAACAGATCAGCTTGCCTGACCAACTAGATCTCTCACCAAACTAACTGCCTGCTATTGCCTGCCTCTCCCCACCAGAATATAAGGCCTTTGAGAGCCTGACCTTCACTGTTTTTGCTCACCATGGTGTCCCCAGTTGCTAGAATAATGCTTGCCATATTAGGTGCTCAATATATGTGGAGAGGACTATGGCTCCACCCATTTTGCTATCTTGCAGGACACCCCACTGGGCTCTTTTGAAGGAAGGTCTTCCCAGATAAGGGTTTATCACACCCTCTGCATACTCTCCAATCCACGGAAGAAACCCACACTCAAGGCAGGATGTGGTCTCCTTTTCTGAAATTTGTATGAACATTATTTCGACTTCCAGAAAATTTTAAGAACAAGAAGAATCCAACATGACAGCCTTTCCCTCTCCCATAATGGAACTCTGTTTCTCCCTAAATGAGTCTAGCAAGTTTCTGGCACAAGGAAGGTAATCAAAAGATAGAAAAAGAAATTCTAGCTGAAACTAGGGATGTAATCTTAGAGTTGTGACAGTTTTACCTGCCTAATCATAAGCCCTTCACAGTGGATTAAGCACAAGTTCTAGTCAGACAAATTTGTACTCAAATCCTATTTCTGTCATTTGTAACCAGGACAAGTTACTTAATCTCACTGAACTTGTTTCCTCACCTGTAAAATGGGAATAATATGTACCTCACAGGGTTGTTGTTGTTAGGTGCCACTGAGCCCGCTCTGACTCATAGCAACGCTATGTACAATAGAATGAAACATGGCCTGGTTCCATAGGGTTGTTATAAGAGTTAAATGTTTCTTTCCTGTTGTCATTAAACCTCACCTGAAATTCCTCAATTTCATTGGGAAATGAATTTCCCCAGAGGCCTCAGCTCACTTTCTTTCTTAGGAGCCACAGCTCTTTCCTCTGAGGTGTTTGAGAGGAAGCACTGAATCAAGATGGGGAATCAAGATGGTGGTCAAGGAAGCCACATAGAGAATGCCTTGACCATGGGGCAGGGAGAAGATGTTGCTTTCAGCAAGAAAGTGGAGAGTCCCTAAGTTCTCTCCAGTGCTGCCATTCTTTCCAGATAAGCCCCATCCTTATTCACATAGAGGATGCCAAAAACACTGAAGACACGGCTGGATTCCTACCTACCCACCACTCTCACCACAGAGCCTGGGAAGTCTCCTTTTGGAGAGAGCCTGATGCTGGTTTGAGAGGGAAGCTAAGTGCACACCAGCCGCCTGGAGATTGGGAAACGTCGGACAGCATCCTTACTCACAATGGAAAGCCTTACACTTCAGGGCTCAGAAGACTATCTGGGAGGACCTGGAGCGGACAAGAGCCCTGGACTATACATCAGGAGACCAGGAACTGGCCCTGGTTCCACCTGACTGTACGAATCCAGCAAATTATTTCACTTGCCTAGGACTTAGTTTCCCCACTCACCACCAGGGGTTGAGATAATTAGAAGTACTGCAGGCTCCTGAATATCGACAGCCTCTCAGACTCCACTAAGAGAGCAGAAGACTGAAGGCTTGGGCAGAGCCCCCGTAAGACTGACGCTGGCTGAGTTAGGAGCTACCATCGGATGCCCCAAGGTCTCTAGGGGAGGTAGGACTTTCTCACTCAGCAGTTGTACGCAGGAGCCCCAGAGCCTCTTCCCTCTCCTTGCTCAGACCCCTCTCCCTTCTTGCCCCTTGCTTTGCGCTCACCGAGCTGAGCTCCGAGGTGTGCGCTTCGGGCGGGGCGGGCTGAGCCTCCTCTGCCAGCGCTGTGGGACCTCCAGGGGCTTCCGCCATGGCGCACGGCAGATCCAACAGCGGCGGTCACTCTCTTGTGTTAACTACCCCACTGCAGGGTATCCTGCTTCCCCGCCCGGCGGGCGCCTCAGCCTTCGGGGGCTGGAGAGGCTCCCTACCGAGAGGGCGTGGCGTGGGGCGTGACGGTACGACCTGGGGGCCAGGGGCGCTGCCCCAAGCGTCCGGATCGAGGGCAACGCGCAGGGAAATCGAGAAACCAGGAAGGGCACGTTTTCTTTTCTTTAAGGGAAAACGCCAAGAGCCCAAATTCTTTGGGACAGGAACTGCCAGCAGGTGCGTCGCGACCATTTTCCTTGCGGTTAAGTCACCGAGGGAGTGAGCAGGCTGCAGAGTGGGGCCTCCAGGTACCCGCGGTTCCCACTAAATCCTCCTGCTAAACACATCTCCGTGGGTGAAATTCGGCAAATTTATTTTTAAAAACGAAGCAACAGAATCGACATGTTCATGGACCAAGATGGTTGAACAGGCTTTCAAGCTGTTAGATACTAGAACCTGAAACATTTTTCAACCCCTCATACAGGTGAGTATGGCCAGGTAACTAAGTTCTGGTCAGTGAATGAAAGCAGAAGGGAAAGAAAAATGGAATGGTTATGCAATTTCCCAGGAAGGTCATAAAATACACAAAAGTTATTTCAAAATGGATCAGAGACCAAGAACTGTAACTGTTAAACTCTGGAAGACAACATAGGCACAAATATTTGCAACCTTGGGTTAGACAATGGTTTCTTGATATAGGCCAGCATAAGCAGGAGGGATAAAAGAAAAAATACATTGAATTACAGCAAAATGAGAAAGTTTGTGCTTGAGAGGACACCAACAAGAAAGTGAAGACAATGTATTTGCAAATCCTATCCTTGACAAGGGACTTGTATCCTGCATATATAAGGAATTCTCACAACTCTACAATGAAAGGACAAATAACCCAATTTAGAAAAAGAGCAGAGGATCTGAAGACATTACTACAAAGATATAAAAATGGACAAGCACATGAAAAAAATGTCCAATGTAATTAGTCATTGTTGTTGTTTGCCGTTGAGTCGCCCCGACTCATAGCGACCCCTCCTTGGGTTTCCGAGGCAGTATCACTACGGAAGTAGATTGCCCCATCTTCCTTCCAAGCATTAGTCATTAGGGTAATGTAAATCAAAACCACAATACCACTTCACACCCACTAGAATGGCTATGAGGAGCCCTGGTGGCACAGTTGTTAAGCACTCAGCTGTTTACCAGGAGGTTGGTGATTCGTTCCATTAGCGGCTTCTTGGGAGAAAGATATGTCAGTTGGTTTCTGTAAAGATTTCTCATTGCCGTGGAGTTAATTCTGACTCACAGCGACCCCCATTGGGTTTCCAAGGTGGTAAATCTTTACGGACATAGATTGCCCCATCTTCCTTCTGCAGAGTGGCTGGTGGGTTTGCCTTTGAAACCCTATGGGGTGTTCTACTGTATCCTATAGGGTCACTATGAGCAGGAACTGACTCTACCACAATGGGTTTTTCCTGTGGCACAGTAGTTATGCATTCAGCTGCTAACCAAAACATTGGCGGTTCGAACCCACCGAGGCAGTCTGCTTCCATAAAGATTTAAAACCTTGGTCTTCAAAGGAAAAATAGGGGCAAACCTAGCATCCCTAATATATGGCATAAACAGACTATCAAACATAATTAAAAATGCCCAAACAACAGCAGAAGATAAACTAGATCACTAAGACCTTCTAAAAATTAAATTCTTGTACCATCAAAAGACTTCTCCAAAAGAGTAAAAAGAGCACCTACAGATTGGGAAAAAATATTCAGCAATGACATATCTGACGAGGGACTTATCCCTAAAATTTATAGGCAATTTCAACACCTCAATATAAAAAAGACGAAATTCCAATTTAAAAATGTGCAGAAGACATGAGCAGACCCTTCACCAAGGATGATACTGAGGCAGCCAACAAACACATGAAGAAATGTTCATGATCATTAGCCATTAGAAAGATGCAAATGAAAACAATGAGATATCATCTTGCCCCAGCACTAATAGCAAAGTCCAAGAAGACAGAAAATAAATGCTGGCAAGGGTGTGGGGAGACTGAAACTCTCATATACTGCTGGTGGGACTGGAAAATGTTACAAACACTGTGGAAAATGGTATGGTGCTTCCTTAAAAAGTTGGAAATAGAAATACCATTTGATCCAGTAATATCACTACCAAACTGTGGTACGTACATACAATAGAATACTGTGCCACAGTAAAGATAATGAAGAATCCACGAAACACTTCATAATGTGGATGAACTTGGAGGATTTGTAGATTTGCGGTTACTCAGGACTAAGAGAGGGGTTCCTGGATGTACGAACAGTTACGTGCCAAAAGATTGGCCAGTTCAAACCCACCCAGAGGCACCTTGGAAGACAAGTCTGGCACTCTGCCTCCAAAACATAATAGCCCTGAAAATCCTTTGGAGTGGTTCTACTATGCACACACGGGGTCCAACAGTTGGAATCAATTCCAAGCAACTAAGAACAACAGTGGGGAATGACTGTTAATGGGTATATTTCTTTTAGAAAGAAAAGATTCATAAATTAGATTGTGACAGGTTGCACAGCCCTGTGAGTATAATAAAAACCACTGGATTGTACACTTCAGTGACTCATGTATGTGAATTACATTTCAAGAAAGCTGTTGTGGGGGGTGGGAAGAAGTGTACTACTAAAGTACTGAAAGTTAAGTCATCATTCCAAATGTGATGGCTGGAGCCAGTGCAGCTATTTTGGTCCATGAGTTAACTTGTCTGAGAAAGGCATATCAGCAATACAGGGGTTTGTTTGATGATCTCATGAAACTGAACTACCAGTCTTGAACCACTTCCCTAGACTTTTGATTTTTGCCTGGGAAATAAATTTTACTTTGTAAGCCACTATTGTTTTAGATATTGTCACAGTCGATCCTCTCCTAATGGATACATAATTCCACTTTCTATGCTTCAATTCCTTAATCTACAAGATCTTTCCTTTATTGCAACCCTATTAATAGTGGGAGGATAGATTATGCATGTGCTAAATACGTAATTCCTTGGAAACTAAATATAAACTCGTTAAAGTTTCTTTGGACAATCTATTTTTACATATGTCATTTATACATACTTTTAGCAGGCTTGTAAATGGTTCGTTCCCAGTCCTTGCACTTTGTTGTGTATACTACCACAGAATATACACAAAAAATTAATTAAAACTTTAATTTTGAAAAGAAGCAGATAAAAAAAATAAGAAGACATTTGTTCCTAACAGCTATTATTTTAGTATAGTAATGCTACATTCCTAATGTAATTTCTAATCACAAAGACAGTAAGTTAAATTTCATTAGATAAACACCAGAATGACAATAATCAAGAAGCCTGTCTTTTGATTAAAACAAAACTAAAGAGTGATACACTGAAAGATTCTGAAAGGATGCACACCAAAATGTTAATCGTGGCTATCTTTGATGATGTAATAACAGGTAATTTAAAAACTGTTTTAGCATATCTATATTATTTCTGAGATGGATATGAATTACTTGTGAAAAAATACATTAAAAACAAATGACAAAGATCCAAATATTAGTCACTACTAAATGAACCCCTTCTATTTAAGGATTTAGTGTAATGAGCAATTTTTAAATTAAATCGTTTGTACTTAAGGGAAGAACAAAGAAGTAAAAACCCTACTAAGGAGTCTTCATGTTGGGTTCAACTCAGGACACCAAGAATGGTTTAAAACATAAATAGAACCATTAAGATAGTATTAAAAAATATAAAATTTCTACATTTCTGAGTATTAAATGAAAGCAGTATCAGCTAAAGTACCTGACACACAAAAGGCACCAATAAATGTCTGTTGATTCTCAAACTGAATGACTTTGCAAATAAAAATGACAAATGCAACCTTACATAACTATCTTATAACAAACACAGGTAAATCATTTCACAGATCCTTTTAATGAATAGTATTACATCCTTAAGAAAACAGTTCTTTAACCATTAGCAAAAGATTGCTTTCAAAGACTTTAAGGCACTGAAATAGATTCATACTTTTATCTTCTGCACACTGAAACATAATGAAAAGCACACTGAGAGAAATGTGTAACATAAATAAGATTACTTTTATAATCCACGTAATGCATAGTAATTTAATCAGTAAACTGGAATTTGCATTTCTATATATTAGCCTGGCAGTGATTTCAGGAATCTGATGACAGTTTTGGAACAGTTGCTTAGGTCAAACTGAAATCCACACCTAAAATGCTTGCTTATTTTAAAATTTTCCTTCCTTTAGAAGGACGTTTTCAGATGTTAGCCTATTTGAGTATAACACATATTTAATTTATATATATATGTATTTCCCCACCTAAGTTTAAACTTTTTAACTACTGGGCAAAAAGACTTATTATGTGTCTCATTTTCGAAAACCCTTAAGAATATTATTTGCAGTAATAAAAATTTTCAGCTCAAAAAATGATGATTAGTGCTGATGACAGCTCTTTATTGAGACCTCTCACTGGGGTGTATTCTACATTTACACACATGAAAATATCCACTCTATCTTCTGGTTAAATAATTACAATAGGAAAATCCACAAAGGATGCTTTTCTATATGCACAAATGGGATACTCCCAACGAGAGGTCCCTATATAGAAATATATGGGAATATTTGAATATAATAATGCAAATGAAAATTATAAAACGCTTTCTACTAATACAAACTGCTATGAAACCCTTTACATATTCTGGTGCATATATTAACCACCAGGTTATTTCCCATATTAGAAAGTTCATTGATTTTACCTTTTGAAAACAGTACAGTAATTTTTGTTTCACTGTAGATAGGGCTATATCATTGCTGTAAACACTGCTGACAATAAATATTTATTTTCTATTATGTATCTGTTCATTTCTCAGGGAAAAGGATGAAAGGAAAGGCTCCCCTTTGTCCTCCCTCCCTTTCCAATAAAATGATGGACCTGCCACACGGAAGGCTGAGAGCGGGGAAGAGAAGCATTCTTAAAATGGACGGCAAACAGAAGGTGTTACCTCTACAAGCCAGGCCATCTCCTAGTGTTTATATTTACCCTCTGCTATATCTGAGCCTTTAATAATAAAAACTTTGTTTAAACATTCCAGCTTTGCTCCAGTTATAGGAAATAAAACAGGGTCATGTCATGATTCGTTCCAGATTAAAGGGGAAGAACTTCTCTAAGAGCAGACAGTGGGAGATGAGAATCAAAACTTAGAGGGCTAGAAATCCTATTTCAGTGGAGAATCTTTATTGCCCATGCATCCTAAGTGAATGTTGGTGAATGAATAACTAACCTCAAATGTCAGCTAAAAACAAAGCTCTAATTTTCAAAAGAAAATAAAGTAGAAAGAATGGGCTGGTGTTCCTGGAGAGAAAAAAAAATTATATTTTTCTGAAAATACAGAAATATGAGTAGGCAGATTAATAGTGATGTTACACTACAAAATGTCATTATTAAATGAAAATACATCATAGGTACTATTGCCAAATTAGTATTTGAGTCTCTCTTGCCACCAGAGAATGAAACTTGAGAACACTTTGCATTTAAGGCATAGCTGTTTTGAAAGCAGAACCTTCAGCCTTTTAACTATCTATTATAAAATAATTAGTCTGCAATGTATGATTTTTTTTAATTCATCGTTTTAATCTGAGACAGCTATCACTGCCATTTGGGAAGATAATGAACACTGCTCTGAATGAATGGTACTGTGAACATATTTGCTAATTTACACCAAATTAAGATTCTAAATGATATAGCTATTATCATATTCTTTATATTGATTAACTGATATTTGAAAACAAGTATATTCTCTCTTAGCAGCCTTCTGGAGAAAAAACACTGAATGCAGTTTCCAGTCATATTTTACTTAATTAACTTGTACTTATTAAGAAATCTTCCCAGAGTTAAATAGTACTTCAACCAAAAGTCCAGTGAATATGACTATTCCTTTCCCCCATTCTGGTTTGCATGTCCACTTACAACCATCATTTCTCTGCAAATTTTCCACCTCGTCTATCAAAAACCAATGCTATGAAAGTCCTCTAAAAGGTTCAGCTGTTTTTTGGAGCCTCTGAATGATTACAGCATTCTGTAAATGCGCTTCTTCCACAGTGAGTGTCTCATCTAGCAATCTGAGGAAAGGAAGAGCTGTTGCCAGAGAAAATGGAGGACTTCTTTGAGATCCTTGGTATTTTTCGATGAAGTCTTTGATGTGGCTTACCCTGTAAAACAGCACAAACTATTAACACAATTTTATGAAAATGTGAATGAACTAATTTAAGGTAATTACAACTTAAATTGTGCAGGTATCTGGCTATGTTAATACATAATATATTCACATCAAAATATGATAAAACTGATCAATTGGATGACTTTACAAGGATGATCCTTAGATACCTGATGATAGTAAGGATACTACTGTTAAGAGGTTTATAGGTGTAATAAGGGTATTATATGGTTACCTTTTTTATGGCTACATTTTTTTTTTTTTTTTTAATCCTTATTCTTAGAGATACATACAGAAATATTTAGAAATACAGGTATAGGAAGTCTGGGATTTGCTTAAAAATAATGGAAGTTCATTATATGCTTCTCTTTGCTTTTGTGTATGTCTGGAATTTTCTAAAATAGAAGGTTTATACATCTACATATCTAGCTAATTAGAAATAGTCTAACTAATGAGCCTGTACAAAAACAGGTTACATCTCTTAAATGCCAGGTCATTGCTTTGAATCCAATTAGGAAAATATTTTAATATAGTAATTTCTGATGTTATTTCTTTATCCTTAATCTCAGTGCAGGCGGAATATTTCATTAGTATAAATGAACACAGAGTTACAGAGAGAGGCATGTGCTTCCAGTTCATCAAAACTAAGATGCCATTAATTTAAAACCCATCATTTCCTTTATGTATCACTGAAAACAAATTTCAATCAAACGATGGCCAATTATTTTCTTAACATTTACTTTTTAATTTTATGTTCACTGAAACAACACTTTCACTTAACTTAGGTCAAAATATTTATCATATGACTCACATGCTTTCATACAATGAAAAAGATAAGTAGAACAAGATGGTTAATGTATTCCTAAAACTTTCTTAATATCATTCATACTCCAGTCTTCTGAATCACTTTTGATTCAGTCATCAGTATGCATAGTTTGCCACATAAGACCCATTTCTGTTTCATCAGCTGTGTTTGTGTCAGTGGCAGAGAACTTCTTCTGTGCTCCACTACTATCTCTGGGCTGTTCTTTCACACAGCTGACAACAGTTATGCAAGTTTTAAGGCAGGTACTATGACAAAGACAATTTTGCCATGAATGCCACATGGCCTATGGAGTAGAGGACACATCCCCATTTCAGAGATGTGAAAATATGTGTCACTCAGAAATAAAGAAATGTGGCATATTATTAGTAAGACACAGAATTTTCCCATTCAATCAATTCACTATGTGAATTTTAAATTCTATTAAATCTGTGAAGCTTACCAAAAAGTCTAGGTCATGGTTCCGTGTATTTATTTGAGTATTAAAAATTGGACAACTAAATTGGACAACTACTATAATTCATATAAATAAAGCCAGAAAACAATAAAGGTTAAAGGAACTGGAGAAAGGCTGATAAGAGGTCGATGGACTTGAGTATGGTCTTAAAAGACAGATAAGATTTGGAAAGGCTAGAAAAATGAAACTATTAGGGACAAGGAATGATGAGGAATGGACAAACTATGCATATGGAGATAGGGAAGCAATAAGCTTAGCAAAGTATAAAGCAAATGCTGGGAGGAAGGGGAAGACTGTACATTTACAAATTGAATAAGACCATTATTACAGGTTTCTTTACAAGTTAGCCAGAGCATTTTGCAGTGACTAAAGTTTTAAAGATAAATACATTATTCAAATATTCCTGACTCTTTCATGCCTCATTCTCTGCACATCTAATATGCTACGCCAGTGAGCAGCACACTTCTACTTCACAAAGTTTACTACACAAGTCATGAGAACTTAACCCAAGTTGAGCCAAAAAATACTAAAGTATGATTTAAAAATAATAAAAATTACTATTTAAAAATTACATATCAAATTAAAAAAGAAAAACTGATTAGTAAAATGATCATAAAACACACTGAAATATTTTACTATTGTCTAAGAATTTCCATTGTCTTCATATATTACGTTTAAGAAACTATTTATTAAAATCTTCTGTTAGTTCTTTTTTTTTTTTAAATTGTGATCTGGGTAAAAGTTTACAGAACAAATTCATTTGTCCTACAGCTGTTCACACACATTTTGTTTCATGAGGCTGACTGCAATTCCCCACAATGTAACAGCTCTCTTCCCACTTCCTCCCTGGAGCTACCTGTTGCCTATGCCCTTCCCTCCCATGCACTTATCCCCTTCTTCACCCCCAGCTATCTCCCTATGCAAACATAGCCCTTCTGTTCTCCCATGATTGATTGCTCCTAGAGTGTATCTACCTGATATAAATGTTCATAGCTATATGTAAAGATATAGCTCTCTCTCCTAGAAACCTAGATTTGGACATAACAACTCTGGTCAGTCTCTGCTGGGGGCTTAAGCAACAAGGTCTGAGTTCCTGCTACTGAAATCCTGTGGTTCTAATCAGAGATAGACACAGTGCCTTCCTTAGTTCCTAAATGGTCTAGTTCCTATCCCAGTCCCTGGAAAGGCCTATTCCATGCTTAGGTTAGTTTGGGTGAGTTTTTGCACCTACAACCAAAGATGCTTAGCTGCATTAAATAAATGTGACTGATGCAATTTGTGCTTGGAATGAGTTTGGAGATGGTCTACTAAATGTATCGGGGGGCGGTATTGGTGATAGGTATGACCAAATCAAAACCAAACTCACTGCCGTTGAGTCAGTTCCGACTCACAGCAACCCCTCCTGGGGTTTCCAAGGCAGTATCACTACAGAAGTAGACTGCCCAATCTTCCTTAAGAGATAGGTGTGACAGATAAGTGATTACTATAATCTAGGATGGAAGTGATACAGGACTAGGACTAAAGTGGTAAAAAGGGGAATAAATAGGAAGGACAAACCCTGTGCCACAAAAAAATTACAGAATTTAGATTAATTCAATAAGCATTCACCATGTGTTCCACAGCTCATATTAGGTAGTGAAGCCACATCAAAAGATCAAATAATCCATAAATTATTTTTTAGCCTATTATATAAGAAATACATGCTCAGTGTAGAAAATACAAAGTTTATCATCCAGAGTAAACCACTGTTCATCTCATCCATAAATTTTCTTCACCTATGAATAGAATTATTCAAACATACATGTTTATTTCATTAAAAATCTAATTTTACCGTATGACAGGCTCATTTTTTTTTACACTAAATAGTCAGAGCATTTTCTATTTCATTAAATGTTGTACAATGTAATTTTAATGGCTTCACAAAAAATTTTAAAAATACCATAATTTATCCATTCAGTCCCTTGCTGTAGGGCACCTATACTATTTCCAATTTTCTGCCATTATAAACAATACGGTGATGAACATATTCATAACTAAATGATTGTGCAAATCTGTAATAAAACCTGGAAACATAATCGCTATTTTAGAAATATGTAAAATTTAGAGGCTTTTGTTACAAACTGCCAAAATGGTCTCTGTAAATTTATTTTCAACTTATTATAATCCCTAAGACTTGTTGGAACAGGTAAGATAAGATGTCAGAAAAGAAAAAAGTGAAAGATAACTTCTTACACTTCTAGCCTGGTTAAAATGATCATACTACTGAAAGAAATGGGGAATTAGAAAAAAGGGTTATGAGATATGCTTAAAAAAAGAAAAAGAATAAAGGTCTACGAGTTGAAAGTAGAAACAGCAGAAACAAAATCAGACAAGTGTAGTGTCAAAAAAGTATATACCATATAACAAGAAGAATAGTTATCAATCAAATGTCAATTTAAAAAAGGCAACTGATTAGTAAAGGTTAAATGTAGTAATATATATTAAAAAATCTTACTATACTGCATGGCACAGAGATGTTATTCGATAATTGGAAGGTATTATTAATTGTACCCTGCTCACTTTTGCAGTGGGTGGCACAAGCAGTTTGCGATTGGCATCTAATCTAAAGGTTGGCAATGTCAACTTTCTCAGTGGCTCCACATTCTTTGCAAACTGCTTCTGTAAAGATCATAGCCAAGAAAACCCTATAAAGGAGTTTCACTCTGTAACACATGGGATCACATGAGTTGGATTTACTCAACGGAAGTGAGTTTGGTTTGTTTCTCACTTTTGCACCAATACAATCATGAAAACAGAGATACTAAAGCACTGGCAATTGGTTAAGACAAGGAGCAACTGAGGAACTAGTTCAAACAGATGACAACTAAATGCAATGTGTGATTCTGAATTGGCTGTTTACTATAAAGGATAATATCCTTTATAGTAATGGCAAACCTTGAATATGATCTGAATATTGGTATAAGTGCATTAATTTTCTGATTTAGATGGTCGTATTGTGGTTAGGTATAAGAATGTCATTGTTGTAGGAAATACACACTAAAATATTTGGGTGTGATGGGTCAGCAGGTTGGGAAACCAAATCAAAAACCCAATCTACCACTACTGAGTTAATTCCATCTCATAGAGACCCTATAGGGCAAAGTAGAGCTGCTCCATAGGTTTCCACGGCTGTAAATCTTTACAGAAGCAGACTGCCACATTCTCCGTTCACGGAGCAGATGCTGAGTTCAAAACACCACGCTTTAGGTTTGCAGCCCAGTGCTTTAACCACTGGGCCACCAAGTTGGGAACTTACTCTCAAACGGTTTAGAAAAAAAGTTCCATAAATCATTCTTGAACCTTTTCTATAAATTTGTGATTATTTCAAAACTTAAAATAATCATCAAACTGACAGATTACAGTGATAATCTATAGTGCTGGAATTTGAATTGACCCGTTTCTTTTAATACTTTTCTGCATTTTCATTCTTTTTCTACAATTAACAAAAAATGCTGAAGTATGGTTTGAAAAATAACAAAAATTACTATTTAAAAATTACATATCAAATTAAAACAGAAAAACTAACTGATCAATAAAATGATCATCCATAAAACACACTGAAATATTTCACTATTGTCTAGGAATTTCCATTGTCTTCATATATTATGTTTAAGAGAACTGTTTATTAAAATCCTTTGTTAGTTCTCTCTTTTTTTTTTAATTGTGATTTGGGTGAAAGTTTACAGAGCAAATTCATTTTCCATACAGCTGTTCCCACACACTTTGTTTCATGAGGTTGACTAATTCCCCACAATGTAACAGCTCTCTTCCCGCTTCCTCCCCCTATCTACCTCTTGCCTATGCCCTTTCCTCCTAAGCATTCAGCACTCCCACTCTGTGCAAACACAGCCCTCGTTCTCCTGTGATTGACTGATTGTTCCTGGAGCATATCTACCTGATGCAAATGTTCACCCCCTATGCCTGTCTACTGTTTGGCTGGAAGCCACAGGAGTGAGATCAGTCCAGACCTGAAGGGTCAGTAGAGGCCATAGTCTCAGGGGTCTCACCAGGCTTTTTCAGACTAGCAAATCTGGTTCCTTGGTTAGTTCTTAAAAATAACTGTTGACTGAACTAAGAAAGAAGAAATGAAATTTAAACTTAGAAAAAAATTCAGATAAATATTGAAATGGAAGACTCACCTATGAGAAGTGTTAAATTTCTGGACAATCCTCTTCCCATTGGCTAACCAGATCTGTATATTAGTGATGGGTTCCAGGTTGTTTAGTGACACAGGAGACAGACTGCTTTTATTTTCAACTTCAATACTTTTTGCTATAGAAACAATTTTTGGTGTGGCACTAAGAAAACCCAAAAAATAAAGTCATGCACATGTTTTTCCATTGAGGAGAACCTTATCATTAAATAATTACTATAAAAATTTTATGTTAAGGGGAGGACTTCCAGTATGATGGAGGAATATGCAGACAAGTAATACAGACTCTCTTCAACAAAGAAAAGAAAAAACAATTGACAGAGGTACAGAAGATAACCCTGGAGCCCTGAGTTTTGAAAGGAACTATATAGAATTGGATTAGGCACCAACTAGTGGAAAACCTGAACAAAAATAGTGAGTACAGAGACAGTTGGAACTGTGGACTGTCAGCTACTCTGATAGGATCAACAGCCTGAAAATTTCTAAGTGGTGCTGGGACCTGAGAATTGACCTAAAGATCAGCCCTGGTCACCAAGGGCTGCAGGGACAACTGAGCTGGTGGCCTTTGATTAGGAAGGGAAATAGCAAGGAGGGAGACAACCTGAGCTGTTGACTTTCCACTGTCCGAAGGGCGCAGTCATTTTCATGGTTTACATGTGGCAGCCATTTTGGATATTTAAAGTGACTGAGGGCACAGCCATTTTGAATGTACAAGTGGTGGCCATTTTGGATATTTAAAGTGGCCAAGGGAGCAGCCATTTTGAATTTTTATAAGTGGGAACCATTTTGGATTTTAAAGTGATAGCCTTCTCATTCGGATTCCAGGGACCTAAGAATAAATAGGCTCTGTTTGCCAACGTCGTCAGGGATTCTCATATGAAAGGCTGACAACAGGAAAGGAAACAGGTGGTGAGTGTCTAAGTGCTGTCAACTAGCAAACACAGGAGCAAAGTACCCTGCTTGTGCAGATAACACAGAAAGAAAACAAAAATCGTGGGCAAGTCACTCCAACATACAATCACCAATTAAACATAAACACAAAACCTCACAATGCCTTGGAGACAACAGAGCATCACAGTCCACACAAAGAAGCAAGATAATCAGGAGAAACAAGGGACCAGGATACAGACCCAAAACACATCCCTGAAGAAGCAGCAGCACTGGAACTCCCTGATAAGGAATTCAAAAGAATTATATTTAGGTGTCTTCAACGAATTGAGAGACAGATCAAGGAAAACACAGAGAAAACCCTACAATAATTTCGAAAGACAATACAAGAACAAAATGACATAATAAATGAAAAGTCAGAAATGATTCTAAATCTACACACAGAAATCCAGAAGATTAATACTAAATTATCAGAAATAGATAAGACACGGAACGGGCAAAGGAACAGAATTGAATCAATGGAAGACAGAATTAGTGAGACTGAAAACAAATACCTCTATATTTCTTTGGAAAGGGATCAATCAGAAAAAAGATCAAAACAAAATGAAGAAAGTCTAATATTCATGTGGGATACCATCAAAAGGAATAACCTACGTGTAATCAGAATTCCAGAACAGGAAGAGACAAATAAAACCACAGAGAAAATTGTCCAAGATTTGTTGGAAGAGAATTTTCCTGGTATGATGAAAGATGAGAATATATCCATTCAGGAAGTCCAATGAACCCCAAACAGGATAGACCCCCAAAAGAAAATCACCCAGACATATCATCATCAAACTCACCAAAACCAAAGACAAAGAATCATGAGAGCACCACAGGAAAAACAAAAAGTTACCTACAAAGGGCAGCCAATAAGACTAAGCTCAGATTTCTCGACAGAAACCATGCAGAAAGAAGACAATGGGATGATACATATAAAACAGTGAAAGAGAAAAATTTCCAACCAAGAATTATGTATCCAGCAAAACTGTCCCTCAAATATGATGGTAAAATTAGGACATTTCCAGATAAGCAGAAATTAA